TGTTCATAATATTTTCGTTGTATGTCTAACACAAAATATGCAGAAATTAGGAAAAGTTGAAATTCCTTCTTTAATTGTATTAGAATGACATTAAGAAATGTTAACCTATACTTACTTGCATGCTTCTTACTTGGATTTTCTGCTGTTATAAAACAGTTCAAGGTGTTTTGGTTTGGTTTGGTTTTTTATATATAATGTTGATAATTCTTTTAATGTAAAAATGTCTGCAGTTCTTAAAAATCAGGGGGTTTTGGGTGTGTGTGTGTTTTTTTAGTAAAGAAGAATTGTACCTCAAGCTATTTATAAAACAAACAATCTAGAAGACAGCATGAAAAACACTACAAGTTAAATCCTGAACCTTGGCAAATCTTTTAAACCTGTTCTGAAAGTAATTTTCAAAAATGGGCTTAACAGCAAGGGAAAATACATTTACATGCTGGCATTATTACAGTATGTAAGATTTTGTGCCGTGTAACTCCTAACATTGTTTCAAAAAATGTGTGTTGAAGCTTTGTTTGCTGTGTAATGCTAGTGAAGATGTCAGCCAGTAATAGTACCTTGTGTGGTTAGATAATTTTGGAGTGTACACAAAACATAACTATGCCTTTTAACTCAGTTAAAATCCTTCACCCAGAGGTTTGTCAATTCACAATGTAGCCATATTATAATCTTTTTTTTATGATTGACTCTGCTGACTTGATTATAGTTATTACAGATGTAACCATAATGAACAGAAATTGGAACCCATTAGTCTGAGTTTTATTATTCTATGTAATTCTTTGCTTTGTAAGCAAATACAGAGACATAAGTATCCTTTCATTGTTAGCCAAAAAGCTAAGATGACCAAAAATATATTCAGTAACTGAATACTGTATAAATAAGACTAGATAGCAGCCTGTCTTAATAAAAATAAATGAGACTGATTTGTTTAACAGATCTTGACAACTGTTATCACTCAAATATTTTAACACTTCCGTTTAGAGAAAAAAGGTCTGCTGTAATAATTAGAGCTGAGAATCTGTTTAATGAGAGAGAGTCTGAGATTTGGTCTTGATGAACACTGGAGAATCGATCAGGGTGCAGTTGTTTGTTATGTTTTTGAATGTGGCTAGCTGAGCTTACAGGAGGTCTAGACCATGACTTTTTTCCATAGCAAAGGCAATTTTTAAATGCTGTGAACTCTTGTAATGGGGTTATATTAACTTATGTGTAGAAAGATTAACATCAAGTTAATCATAAAGGCAGGTTGTCAGTGAATTTAGTTCTTTCTGTGTGCAAAGATCTTTTCATTTGCTGTATTACCTTCTCAGCTGAAAAGGAGATAGTACTCAGCAACATTGCCAGAGTAGTGCTGTCATCCCACCAGAAACAGACCTTAGTTCATGTGTTTCAACATCAATAAATCTCTTGATCATTTCTAGTGAACTAGAAGACTGGGTTCTGACAGGGACAGATATTTTGGAAGTAGCTTTTCATGACTTAGGAAGCTGACTCTGCAAAGCAGTGTCGACACACGAGCAATGGAAATGAAGAAAGTTCCAGCTATTACAACATCTGTGCCTGAATTAGTCTGAGCATATCTTTGAAATAACACTTTGCTTTTCTCTGCTGTCCTAAAATTCTTGCATGATTAAGTTGCACACTGGTTCCCAAGATGTCTCCCATATACTGATCACTGTGGGACAGCTTTGCCATCTGTGAGAACATAGAATGTGAAACAGTCTGGTAATGCATTTAAACTGTTAAACTCAGCAGGGTTTGCTGTTTTGTTCTTTCTCTTCCATCCCACTGCAGAAGAGAGAAAGCAGTACAGAATTCAGCTCAACAATGTCATACTCTAGGTAGTGTTGGACCTGTTATAGGGGCGGTGTAGGAATCACAACAGAATCGCTGTCACTGAAGATGCTGAGTAAGCATCAAACTTCAAAACAGAAAAAAACCCAAAAGGTCCTTCCCTCAACTGATAAGGAAAGGATAATTTTTTTTTCCATTCTGCCTTACGTCCCATTCCAGTCTTTGCAGTGGTAGTCAGCTTGGTGTGGCTCAGTCATCATTTGTACATATATACTTCGTAGATCCGTAATCTCCTAACTGTGGTTTGAGCATCTATCTCACAGCCACCATAACAGCTTCCCCCCAAAATTGCACGGGAAACAGGATTTTGTTTTCCTTGTGCTAAACTAACATCTTTTTGAGACTAGAGCTGAATTTTCCCCTCTTTTTCAGATTGTGTAGGAAATGGAGTTCCTGGTGTCTGATATAGGAAAGGTACTATTCCCCTGAGCTCTGAAGTTATTATGAAAATTACTATCTGATTATCTAGCCCAGTTTAACTCTAAACCCCTTTTGCCATGCTTCTCTATGTTTCTTTCTCCTCCGGGTGTTTTTGCTCAATAAATTTGGTTAAACTTGCATTGAGTTTTCTTATCTTTTTGGTTTCTTTTTTTTAAGAAATGATGTGAGACTTGGACATGTCTTTCTGTGATTCAGTCAAGATTTTAAAAGGACAGTTAAACTTACAGAGGAAGTTAGACTAAATCCCTCTGTAATTTTGTGCCTTTTGAAACATTATTTGACCTCTTCACTGTGGATGTTCTTGTTATACTTTTGTATTTGAAATTCTGCTTTTGTTTTTGAAAATGTCTGCATTCATTCACTAGCAACTGAACTGTAGACAAGTATATGCTGCCTATAGCTTTTCAAATTCCTTTCTTTTGAAAAAGTTTTTGAGAGGACTTTAAACATCTGTTACTTTGCTATTTTAATAATAATATAATGAAAATCAAACAAAACAAGCAAACAACAAAAAACCCAACAACCAATGTTCGAAGGTCCACAACATTCTTTGAGCACTTATGTTGCACTTTGTTATTTTGAATTTCTTGACAATAAAGTAGAACTCAGGAACAGACTGATTCATCCATGCCTATGACTAAACCCATCTTTTTTTTTTCTTCTTCCTGTTTCAGATGTAAGATGGAAAAACAAATTCTGGGGAAAGTCCATGGAAATTGTTCCAGTTGGTACAACACATGTAACTCTTCCAGCGTAAGTGCTGCAGTTGTGCATTGCTGTTCACACATAGGCACAGATGTGCTTGCACACACTGAAGCCACATTTATCCAGATGAAAACAAGCTGTGCTGTGCTTTGTTAGATTTTTAGGAGAACTGGTGACTATGATTTAATTTAAAAAGAAAAGGGGGAAAAGGGGAAGAAGAAGAACCCCGCCAAACCAAAACCAGAAGCATAAATCAGAAGCACTAACTCTTCCAAAAGTCATAACAAACATTGAAAAAAAAATCACTACTGTGTACCTTGAAAAAAGAAAAGTTGGTATTTTCATACTTCAGTTGAATTTCAACCTTTATGTATTTTAAAGTCACAGAGGAAAACTGCTTGGTAGAAGAAGCTACAAATAATTTTGCTTGAATATGGGTTTGGGGGAAGGGATGTTGTTGTTGTTCCTGTACGTATATTTGTACAGAGCCTGACACCATGGAGTCCTGGACTGTAGGTGAGGTCAACAGCCATCACCACTGCAGAAATAATTATTGTAGGTGATAAATAGAACCAGTTACATATCTGGTATTTATTATCCAAGGAAGTAAGCAGCCCCTGTAGTTAAGTGTTGAGTATAGTTTTTTGTTTTGTTTTGTTTGTGGTTTTGTTTGGTTGGTTTTTTTTTAATAAAAATCTGCAATGTTCCTATGCTGGCTTGTCAGAGTGCCCATTATTGATCAACAATTAAAATCCCTTAAAATTTGGCCTATATCCATCATGTTTGCGGAACCAGAGATCTAAAGGTTGATTAATGTTCCAATTGAATCTGTTTTCCAAAGAAAGAGTAAAAAATTAATTATTTTGCCAATTTAAAAAAAAAAAAGAATAAAAATAGTTCAAGAATGTAGCACTCATCAAACTAAGGGACTAAGCATACATTTTTCTTTTAAGTGGATAAAATTGTGATATCGTAGGATGTTATCCAAAAGGTAATGTATAAACCATGTTTTGTTCATAGCAGCTAGCCTAAGTTGTGAAATGAAAGGTTTTTAGGATGTGAATGAGGGTTCAGAAGCAAGATAACTAATATTAGAACTCATAATGAGCTGATGAACTGGAAAACAATCTGATTTATATGTGCTGGTTTCTATCCCTGTGTATTTGATATAGAATTAGGTACAGAAAAGGTGCTAAGGCTATAGGGAAAAATGAAGCATTAGTATTAAGGTTAATTTTGGAGCAATTACAGTTTTTTAGCATTTGTGATAGACCACATGACCTGCATAGTTAGGGGCAGAAAAACAAGTTACTGTGGGGTAAATTGGTCACATATCTGCTGGTCTGTAAAAACTGTCTTTGTGTGTGTGCTCTTATAAAGCAGTAAGTGAAAGCAAGGGATGAATAGGAGGTAAGGACAGATTCCAATATCTCCATGGAATGTGTGTGAAGCAGTTGCTATGGGGAAACTGGTGCTTTCTAAGTTTATCCTTTACCTTACCAGTAGTGACTTGGCTATTCATACCCAGAACAAATTGTAGAATGTCTTCATGAAACTTTCCTCTCCTTGATGTTTTATAAAGCTGTTTTATAAGAACACCTACTTCTTTAATAAAAGGTAGATTGTTGTGTTACCTTATTGGCATTTGTTCAGCTCTCCCTGTCTGCTCTCTTCCAGTGTGCAACTGCATCTTGAAGTAGCTGGTGAGAAGTTTTCCTCTTGCCTAAAGCAAAAACATAGGCTCAGCCTTGAGAGCTTGAGCCAAGCTCTTTCCACTCACTAAGTCGTCAGATGACTCTGGTGGCCCATGTCCTTGTGTTTTCCATTGTCACTGTGTTACAAGCTGTGAAATGGGCATTTCAGACAGTAGAAACCATTGGAATGATTTCTTTTGGAAACTTAAAATTGGTAAAGAAGGATAAGTAAATTGAGAGAAATCTGAATTAAAGATCAAAGTTTATAGCAGATGCAAAAAGGGGTTTTGTGGGAGACAGGATTGCTGTCATAGGGATTGTTTTGAGAAGGTGTGGAACAAGAAAATGAGGCACTCCAGGGAAAAAAAATGTATTTTGAGTTTCTTTGATCAAGTTTTCTGCAAATATTTTCACAAGTTTATGAGCTCATTTGAACATGACAGATGATTTTTCTTGTGTGTATTTTTCCTTACAGTTTTAAAGACCATTTTGCATGGAACAAGGTGACATCTTGCATCCATAACATCTTAAGTGGGCAGAGATGGATTGAACACTATGGAGAGATCATCATCAAAAATCTTAATGATGACACTTGCCACTGCAAACTGACTTTCATAAAGGTAACCACAGCAATGTTGGCAGTGTCTTGTCTAACAGACATAGCAGTGGGTGGATATGCTCTCTGATGAAGCTCAGTACTACTGTTTACAGGCTGTAATTACCTGTGATTCTGAGCAATTTTAACTCTGAAGGAATTGCCACTTACTAGGCAGAGCCAGACAGAAAGAGAAACAATAGCTTTCTCAGGTGATTTCACTGGAGTTGGGGAAAAGTATGGAGAAAGGAAAGGAAGAAATATCATGGAAAACTTACTCTCAATTTGATGGGAGACATAGGCACAAGGTGTCTGCTGACAGTGGTTTACCACATGCCTCCTGCTAACCCACTGGCATGTGCTGCGGTTGTATTCATTCAACAGCTGTAGGTTGTAGTGTTACTCAAAGCTTTTTCTTCACTACAAGGCCTCAAGATACGACTTCTTCAGGAATTGTCCTTAGAACTGAAATCAAATTTGGGTTTTGGTAATAGATGTCGTCGCCTTCTTCTTAATAAAGGAAATCAATGAAAATACAAAGTGACGCTAAAATTTCTAACCCGAGAAATAATTTTGCAAAGCATGCTAGGAGACTTACCTTAACTTGCATTTTCTGTGTCTGTTTGCTGGAGAAAGGCTGTGCTTTACACAAAACAGACCACACAGACACAAGGAATTACTTCAGTGTACCTATGCAGCATGGTGCTCAGCAGCAGGAGGAAAGTTTTCTTATTTGTTTTCCTGAATACCTAGTGCTTTCTAAGAAGCATTAGGGTGATTTTTTTTTTCAAACACTTATTTGAAAATACTGTAATGTAGTTTCAGAGCTGCAGTAGATGTTTAGAGTTCAAATTTTAAAGACTGAGAGCCTGCAAATCTCAATTGTAAATTGTCTAAATGGGAGATTAAAGTATCAGTTCCTTCTCTTCCTCTTCTGCAAATTTGGGGAAGATGTAGATAACCAAGTCAGGAGTCCGTGTCAACTGTCATTGGGCAAAATTCAAGATCAGCTATGCTTCGCATAGTACTGTCCCTAAAAAAGTCAAACCACGTAAATACGATTCTCAATGTTAGTATTTTAATAAGCTGATTAATAGTACTAACAGCAGTTGTTTGCATATGATATTTTAACGCACACCTAAATTAATAGTTTTCATTTCAGAAAACTGCTCTACAGTGTGGTGCTATTGGCATGGCAAAATGAACCACACTTGAGCTCTTATGCACCTTTTTTCCCTTGTTCCTTTTAATTCTAGGCTAAGTATTGGAATCCAAATGCACATGAGATTGAAGGCAGTGTCATGGATAAAGCTGGGAAAGTTGTGCATCGACTCTTTGGGAAGTGGCATGAAAGTTTATACTGTGGGACAACTTCATCTTCAAACTGCATATGGAGAGCAAGTTAGTGATCAGAACAGCTGTTGTACTGGAACTGAGATCTGCTTGAGAAGGAGCTTACTGTTTTTATTTCTTTACTAGGCCTCAATTTCTTTTTATTTCTCTGTAGAATATTAGATTTTTGTCAAGCATTTAGAATTTAGACCAGAAGAATACATCATTTAAGTAATATGGAGAACTTAATCCTATGGCTTCCTGCATTTTCTCCATTCTCCCTCATTTTCGTATTTGAGCATGAAGTAGGTATTGAGGACTCTAACAGGAGAGAAATAAAAAAAAAGGAACAAACCCCTCCACTGCTTGTATAAAGAAGTGTCATGTATTTCATGTGTTAAACATTGTAGGATAGCCCACAAAACTCAGTTCTGTAATGACAACCATAACTGAACTCCTCCCAAACTCATGGGATTTTGTCTACTGTAGTTTGAAAAAGCACTATGATAATAGCATGGCCTTCATCACAGTTGTGCTCTGATTCAGCTGAGAGAACAGAAATCTGTCTTGTTGCAGAGCAATTATCAAGGAGGATGTTCTCTTTTGTTACATTATTAAAAACCTCTTGTTCCCGCAGAACTGAGGCTGTGGATCAAGGATAAACAAATGACTGAAGGGAGCTTGAAATTTTCATTCTAAAGATAATAACATTTACTTGGAATTCTGAATGTACTCTTTTCTTCTGTAGATCCAATGCCTAAAGATTATGAACAATGGTATGGATTTACTCAATTTGCACTGGAGTTAAATGAATTGGACCTTCAAACTAAGTCATTACTCCCATCCACTGATACACGTTTTAGACCAGACCAAAGGTAAAAAGTTTTAACTCTTAAATATCTTCCTTAAATTGTTCTTAATCTTCCAAATACTCACTTTCACCTAAACTCAGACTATTTTGAGTTAGTTTTCTTTAAGTGCTTTTTGATAGTGCAGTTGTCTGCAGATGTAGCTGTTTACCTTTGAAACACTGTGAACTACCTGCCGTAAGATGGGGGACAGGAGCACCAATTGTCTCGTATCACTGCTGCTACAGGTTTCTAGAGGAAGGGAATATTGAAGGAGCTGAAATACAAAAGCAGAGGATTGAACAGCTACAGAGAGAACGACGGAAGGTGCTAGAAGAAAACAATCTAGAGCATCAACCTAGATTTTTCAGGTACTATATAATATTTAGCATATGCTATCATTTATTGAAATTCCTAATTATAGATCTGATTATGAATTATCATGGAGCAGGCTCCAGTTTTTTCCAGGTTTCTTCTAGATACTCGTTTTTTATACTTTGGTGATGTAGCATACTCCAGACTTAGTTAAAACTCAGAATTATATATTACTTTTTCATTAGTGCATCCCTGAATTTCTTTTTAATTTTTTGCCTTGATAGCGATTGATACTTAGTCTACATTTGAATCTGCCTGACTGACAGAATCTTTGATTCTTTCCAACGAGGTGAAATAGCTGGATTTAGCTTAATTATCTCTGCTGAACTTCGGGTGAATTCAGTGGGATTGCCTGCTGCAGAAGTGTGCTGAGTTGGAGCACACTGTTTCCGGGGCTGTTTTCAAACAGGTTTCCCCTATTTTATGGGGAGAGAATTATCATTCTGAGGGCACTTTATCTCTTCCTGTTGTAAATTAATTAAACAGGAGACTTCAGCCATCGAAAGACAAAAATGAATGCCAGTGGGGATGTGGTCTTTTGCCCTCCAACTTCTCTCTTCTCCTGCAGTGAAAGAGTTGGAGCCAAGGTGAATGCTGTATGGGCCTATGTATCACATTTAACAGATTGGGATTCTATTCTTTCTGAATAGATATATACTGTACTTCTGAGGAACACAGAAATGTTTAAAATAGGTATAAATAGGTGCAAAAAGAGAATGGTTCAGACCACTAGATATCTGACAAGCTGGTGAGCTAACTCATCATTTGCCAATCACACCTACCAAAGAGAAGCAAATATTACTTCCAGCAGGATAGAGGCAGTCTAATACTTTGTGATTGTATATTCACAATGAGAATTGTGAATAAGGATCAGCATTTGAATCCTTACAATGAGGATTTGAAAACGGAGTTTTGTGCTGCAGATTTAAATAGTGGAATAAAGAATTTAATTACTATATAGCAAAAGTATTAGAGCAGATATAAATTAATGCATTTGGCTTTTCAATAGTGATTTCTCTCTGCCACAAGCCTTGATTTACTTAAAAGAATAATTAGCTGTTGTGCCAAACATGTTGTGCACTAGATTAAAAGCAGACTGATTTCTTGGCTCTTGACTGAGAGCTATAGGCTCTCTTTATGCAATAAACATGGTGAGCCATCTTTCGACAGGTAAAAGTCAAGTTTCCCCTCAGAGCTGCTTTTGAGACCATGAAATAAACCTGGACTGTAGTTTTAAGTACCAAGCACAGACATATGACAGTGAAAGTGAATGGTGGGTTATTGAGATGCATTTCTCAATGTGCAGACATACCTGTTCGACTCTCCATGCTATATTGGCTTGTTTGCAGGCTGTAATGAGTTGCACTGCACCTGGTTCATGGGCTGGATTGGGTATCTGTGCATAGTACTGCACTGCATTACACAGCATATATATGGAAAATATAAGCTTTACTTTTAAGACATTCATTTAACCTTTGACAGGAAATCCAATGATGACTCCTGGGTGAGCAATGGAACCTACATGGACCTTAGAAAAGAACCTGGTTTTTCCAAACTGGACAATCCTGTCCTCTGGTGAAAGAGGAGCTAAGTGAAGATATTCTGTGCTGTATTCTTGGATCTGGTTCAAAAGACACATATGTAAAATATAACTATATATATCTATATATACACATATATATATATACACACACACATATAGTATATGTGTGGGGTGTGTGTATGTGTGCAAATGTGCATATCTCTAAAATTGTGCTTAAGTTAGAATCTCATAATTAATTTGTTTCCTTTACTCGACTATTGCAATGATTGTTTGAATGTATAAATACCCTAACTTCTTTTTATAAAATATTTAATAAATAGTCCTGAATGTAAATGGTGAGAGGGAAAAGAGGAGCTTTTACACTACTTTTTCAACGTGTAATAACATCAGCTGTGAGTTAACTTATGCCTTATTAAATTGCATTGGAGGCAGTAGCATCAGCATCTCCTAGCTGTGCTGAGGAATCAGAGTGCAAGCCTTAGTAACTCAAACTGTAGGTTGGCTTCCACAGTGCAATGAGTAGTTCAGCTGTCTCTGGGCAGGTATAAATTGCTAAAACAAGATTACCGGCTGGTGCTGGAATCTGAGTATGATCTTTTGCTGCCTGTAGAAAAGATTTAAATAAGCTTTTGTTTCTAATAACTTTCTTCTTAGTATTATGGAAGAGGTAGTTCTGAGCTTGCGTCGGTGGTTCTACTGCCTTATACGTAAATTGTACTGGGTTAAATGTAGTGCTAGAAATTCAGGAATCGCCAAAATTTTCCACTGGGAAAAATTTCCCCTTCAAATTTATAGCCCCTAACAGGGCAAGAGGAGGAGATTATTGTATATACTGCTTGAGCACTGAGTAGATGAAGAAGCTCTCTCTCTTTCCAGTAAGTGAAATCTATACAGAGCACGAAATCCTGTGCTTCCATAGCTTTATTTGTTTTTATTAACCTAAAAATTGCAACAGTAAGACTTTTTAAAAAGTAAGCAAACTGATTGTTTTAAGCTAGAAATTTTTTCCTAGTATTTTGATATTTTCTACCTCTTAAGAAATAAACAGCATATTTTAGATCTTATATTTAAAAAACTACCATCTGCCTTATGGAGAAGTGTATGGAGTCTTTGATCTTCCTCTGTTTGTTTGTTATGTTCAGATAAATACTGAAGTGTCTTGCACTAAATCAATTGCATCCCTTTCTTATCATTTTATATGTATGGCTTGATTTGTGAAGCTACTAAACCATAGGTCAGAAATTGAGCAGGAAAAAAATGTAGCACTTTTGAATGAATATTATAGAGATGGGGAGTATTTTTGGGTTTTTTTCCATCAAATCACAGTGTCACAGTCATTAACAGAATAATTTGTATTCCTATCTATCTGCAACTCAAGCCTGATCCATGATTCTTCAAGTCTGTTCTTTGTGTCTGTGACTCTGGCAACAATGCAGTTTCCATGTGAGATAGGTCTATATCCTGTCACCACCCCCTTTTATTTTTCTTCCATGCCACTGTAATGGCATGAAACTAATACAAAAGCTGGCATGTTAAACTGGCTTATGACTGGAACAATTGGATGCGGCAGGGATAAGGTAGACTCCTAGGGGGGATAGACTAGTGGCTTAGAAAAGCTTGCACTTTACTGCAACTGTGCTGCATTGTCCTAGAGAAAACCCATTAAAAATGGATCCATGTAGTATATGTAACATGAAGGAAATACTATGAAGGTTTTCCATTTTAAACAAAATCTGTAATGTCAGATTAGATGTATATTTGAATTTTCTTTCTGTTACCTTGAAGCCTCATTGTCTCAGAGGCAGATGAATGCTTTTTCACTATTTTTCACTTTGCCCAGGAACTCTGCCTCACTATAATTTCTGTAATTTATTACCAAAGAAGTTAGCATAATTATTTCTATTTAATATGTCTTTTTAAGACTTGACTACCATGCCAGCAGCTTACAACAAGACAAGGTTCACATTTATATGAAGACAAAATCTAGGCTTTGATTCCAAAGGAAATCTTAACATTTGAAGGCTGTTTGGCTTTTCAAGGAAAATGAGGTTCTTGTCATAACTTTTTCCTTTCCTGTGTTTTATCCTTGTATTAACTGTGAAAACTTGGCACTGAATGGAGTGGTTAATTGTAGTTATCTTTGCTGTTGGTAATTACCATTTATACTAAAAATAACATTCATTTAACAACAAAAGAGGGTAGCGGAAATAAAAAAAAAGCTTCTAAGCAAAGGAGCAAAATTTATGGAGGATATATTAAGCTTGCTCATTGTCATATTTGGCAACTACTGTGATACTGACTGATCTGCATATATATCAGTTATATATCTGAATATACTGTTGGGTTTGTATAGTGTGTGTGTGGAGGGGATTCCCCCATACTTTGTCATATGACCTAATATTGATAGCATCTAAAATTAAAGAATTAGAGGCCAAAAGGCAAAGTTAAAAATTGTAATGCATTAAAAGCAGCAGATGTTAAACAGAACAAATCTCATTATTTGATTCATGATTATTGAGAAATCAGACTGGAAGTGTTGCCTTGTATCTTACAATCTAAACTGTCTAAAATACATGAGATTGATCACAAGAAGCATTGGGCTGAGCAGTGCCTTATATAAAATTTTCTTTATCAAGATTTCCATATCAAAAAGGTAAACTGAAGAATTTTAGTATCATCTTCAGAAAAACAATGCCTGAGAATAATCTAGGGCATTTCTTAAATGCATGAAGCAAAATCATTGAACAAGTAATAGATCCTTTTTAAAATCTCTAATACACACCTGCAAGCATGATGTAACCAGTTGTGAATGATCCTCTGACCCTGCGTTTCCAACAGCGGTATAGTTTTCCCTGCTTACTTTTTTATTAAATAATTGGGTTTAGTTACTAAACTTCTGTCAACTGTATATTAAGAAGTGGAAGGAAATTGTCTTGATGTTACTTCTGTGTATTTCCGCATAAAAATATATTCATCATTCACAAACCGTAATATATTCTGTAAAGTTCTTCTTGGTAAAATATCAAATTCTGGTAAGTTTCTTCCCCAAAACTTCAGCTGTGTTGATGGGTACCAAATTTATTTTAGCATTCTGCAATGTAATTAAGACAAGTTGTTTTTAATAACTGACATTGGGGGACTTCTTTCCCACTATTTCTACCCTAAATGGTAAAAAAGAGTGCACCAAGCAACTTAACTGCTACTTTTCATACACAGAAGTGATCCCCAAGCTGTGTTAGCTCAATGGATCAGTCTTAAAATTTCCTGATGGCCGTTGCCTGCTGTTATAGCTCTCTTATTTCATGACTTTATAACCATCACTTAATATGATCTTGGAGGTCAGTTTGAGAAGCACTCATCCAGCTCTTCCTTTCTTTGTGTATCTCTTCATAAAGTAAAACCTTCACTATAAACTTATGTCAAAGTAATGTAGCAGGTCAGACCTTTCAGTGTTAAAACACTGGCTCAGTTTGCAAATTACAAAGCATAGAAAGAGAAAAAAGTCCAAGGAAATAGTGTTCATAGGAACAGAAACTCACAGCTCTACTTCCGGATTTGCAGGCTTGATGTTTAGTTTCTGATTTTGGTACAATGTAAATTTGGAATTATGAAACAGCATCACTGGTTCAGGAGATGACTCCAGGTAGCATAAAGTGCCCTTCAGACCAAGTGGAACTGGAATGCACCATAAATAATTGCATTCCTTTCTGAATCTCTGTTCTCTAAGATATGCTTGATATGTTAGTTTGCCAGCACTGATCTACTTCTTTTAGATGCTTTTTAAAATACAGATCTAGCAGTCTGGACTTAGATTCTTTATAAAGAGCTCAGAATACTAGATGCCTGGAAGGAAGACCAAAACCAACCCAAATTCTGAAAAGGAAACATCCCAGAGATCTGTTCTTCCACCAATCAGTTTTCTTTGAAGGACTAGAAACAAGATTGCTGCTTTCTTTTAAAATCTGGCTCCTGAAGGATGTAGTGGTTGCAAACACAGTCCCCTTACTGTCTGCCAGTTTAGTGTTGAAACCAGATCACTGTGCAGAAAGGAACACTGATTCATGGAGCCAGAACCAGGGCCCCAACCAGGGACAGCTTTCAGGTTGCACAAAGGTCCAGTGCTGGTCTCAAAACAAACTAACAAACCCCTTCCGAAACCCCAGCCTAACAAAGACCTCCCCCCTTTCCATGCCCCCTTCTTTCCCTCGGGTGTTTACAGTCCTGTTTAGGTTTTCTATATGGTCCCTTGTCTTCAAGTCCTTATTCAATGTCCTGTTTTTCTCTTTATTAAAAAAATCTCTGATGAATAGGAAAACAGTCCATTCTAAAAAGCTTTTAAATGATAAATCATACACTCCCCATAAACATTGTGTCCTACTTATGTATCTTTTCCTTGACTGAGAACAAGACTTTTTTTCCTCTTGCACTCTGGAATCAGACCTAGTAAGGGTAGTGCGCTGTGGAAAAGTGCAGCTATACTGCTTAGCATACTCCTAGTTATTAATGTCCTTGCATCTGCTTTTGTGTGAATCTCTTGTGTTGTCTCTCCAAATGACCTGCTTGGCAGAGCAGGAAACTTTTGGCATATCTTACTTAGTTCAATACAGCATTTTTTTGTTATACAGCTCAGAGGGGGCAAGGTGAAGAGGAGTGCAAAACTTGGCCCACAGTGCATATATACTAGAGAGAAGGATGAAATCCAGCTTCTCCACATATCTGAATACATCTTGCAAGGGCTAGAATCAGATGGTGCTATGCAAAGGAATGACATTAAAATGAAATGGTTTTTTTGGTTGAGCGTGTTTTCATTCATGGATTATGCCTATTATAAATAAAATTCATGGTATTCACTAATTCATTCTATTTTCTAGCTACTGGTGGATGCAACTTACTCCAGCAACTGTGGGTTCATAAGAAACTGCACATTACCTTGCTTATCTGTTGAAACTTAGTAAACACTGTAACTTATCACCAAATGTATTATTGTACTCCTCCGTTCTTAGATACTGTTCTTTCTGCAGCTTTTGAAAGCAATAAGAGAAATTTTCAACATAAATAGTTGCCATATGTTAAAGAATTATTTAAACGGTTCATTTTTTTATATAAATTGTGGATTTGGTGTTTTTGTTGTATAAAACAAAACTGTATTAAAGCTTATGAGTTTGTTTGGGAGGTTGATCCACAAGAGATGATGAACTCCTTTAACTCCACACCTTGGAGATGGTTGGTATTCCCAAGAATCAGGCAGTCTTGTATCTGTGTTAACAGTATTTTATTAGTTCCAGTATTGGAAAAACATGCCACCTGTATGACATATTACACAAAGCTGCTAAATGCTGAATTTGTTGTTTGTTTTGATAGAGCATTAGTGATTTCAGAATAAGGAATGATATCTTATACATTAGAATGATCACTGACTTTCAGATTATCACTGACTTTCAGATTTTTAGAAAATCTTTCTGTAATCAGGACCATTCCTGGGTTTTGCTTCACTTACTGCAAAAATTTATAATGTTGGACCACCTTGATGCACAATTTGATTTATTATTTTTGTCTCTGTAACCAATTTAGTTGGATGACAATAAATCATACTTGCAAAAGGTCATAGAGCACCCTGACTTTTTCCCAGGGATTTGTAAGCACCTTTTTTCAGAGGTTGTTAATGACAGCTGAACCAAGTCTTGCTGCTGTGCTTTTTACAGTTCCCAAAATGGCAAGTAGGAAAAAGCTTCCATCTGCTAGAAGCCTTATTTATCACTCTTACAATCTGTCTGGTCGTTGTGTAGTTGTGCAGTGTTCCAGTTGTACTGCTCTGTACAGCTCTGCTTCATGGCTATCGTGCCAGACACTGGCGCAGGGAAAGGGGTTAGCTGATGGAATCCATTTACAGCTGGAAGCTTATTCTTAAAAGCAGCTTTCAGCAGACAGATGTGCAACATAAATGGTATGCTTTAGCATGAATGTGGAAACCACAAACCAAATGTTCACAAAACAACTTTTAAAAACAGGGAAACATAGTATTTACTGGATAAAATAAATAACTGGAAAGAAAGGAGATCAGTGTGGTGGCTTTTCCCTTAGCGATGGTGATTCAGGACAGGTCTTCCAGTCAGATCTCAGCTATGTCTCACAGTCCCACCATATGTGTATAAGATGCAATACGGATGGACGAGGATCTTGAAAAGCATGGGAATACAGTGAGTGTAATTCCTGAACAACATGAAATTCCTGACTGCAGTTCTCCAGCGTTTACCAGGCTCAGTGTCTACAAAGATTTGGTGGGAGGGAGCATGGAGGTTCCAGGAAGAGCTGGGAAAACTGGATCTGTAAATCTGTTACCACACAAAATATCCTCAGCTGTTGTACATTGCAGAAATAGGATAGAGGCCAAAAGAAAAACAGCTTTTACAGTGGGCAAGAATCAGTTCCTGTTTTTTGAAATCCAGCCATTTTGGTTCTATTGAGTTAAGGACTTTGGAACTTTCTCATCATGTCAGGGAGAATTACTTTGTTGTTGATTAATTTTATAGAGATCTTGTATGGTTTAATTGGTATCTGAAACAACAAGCATTTAGTTCAAGTTGTTGGGAAAATCACTGTTGACAGAAGCAGTAATATTTTTTTCATAATTATAAAAGGGAGAGAAAGATGGCATGGGATGCTCATTAGTGCCCTAATTGTGAACATGGAGGGCAGCAGGAACTTGTTTTAGAGATAAATGGATATGGAGTGAATTTCTCAAGTTTGCTCCTTGAGCTAATACCAGGCCGAGTACCCACAGTGGGGTCAGTGCTACCCAGACAAAACAGGTTGTTCTCCCCTACAGAAGTGCAAGGTGTAAACTTGGGTCATATAGACCTTGCATCCAGCTTGTGTTTTAGCTCAGTTGTCGGTTTCTTTACTTTAATCTCCATTTTAAAGTCATTTTGCTTACTGCAAAATGATAGTGTGAGGAAAAGCACTGACAGGTAAGCTTGCTCTACATAGTAACTGACACATCTTGGCTTTTTTGTTTTGGGTTGGGTTGGGTTTTAATGCCTATGTTATATTTCTTTTATCTTGCAAATGTTGCTCTCTGTGCTCAATTTATTGATTTTTAACTTAGACCCCTCTGGTATAGCAGATGCATAAGAATTTGTAGGGTTACTCTGTGTTTTTAAATGGGGTTAAAAAGCTGGCCAGATACCAAATTCTGCTGTATACTTATGAATTTGTATCTTTGCCTACTCTGTACCAGGGGAAATATTTGAAATTACGATATGTAAATTCTCATTTGAGGTAAATCAACGTTGCTCTGCTGAGCTGAATATAACTGAGGCTTAAGTTAACTGAGAATTTGTCTCTGTGGGTTTAATAGCGTAAGTTTTTACAGACTCTTGAAACAGTAATAAATTCCTGGAACACAAGATGTTGTGTATGAACATCAGCTGATGTTTCTGACTGTAATTTCAAGAATTATTGTCTTTCTCTAAGGCACTACTTCTCTTTGAGGATTTTTTTGAGCTGATGTTTCACTTGCTATTTTACTAAGACCAGTTGTTAGAATTTGAAAATATGTTTTATTTTGCTTAGTTAACATTGTTCTTCTTTATTAAAACTTCTTTATAAAAAGTTGTTTTCCTAAATTACCAATTTCTTACTTTTCAATTTGTATTAAAAAAATAAAAATAATGGCTGGCTGCCCTAAGTCTACTTTGAATGACTGCAGTACATGCCTTGAAAAATCCTTTCCTCCTTAGATTTTTATGAGGATATGTCTGCAATGCCTAGATTGCTGCCTAGAGCAAGGAAGATTATGTAGATTTATCAATAGATGAGAACTTGTCTAATAGCGGGAGAGATTTACTGTTTTGTTTACTCTTAGATTTGTTATCATTTCAGCAATTGACAGACTGAAGATGAAGTCAGGAGATCATCCTAATTGTATTCATTGTTGGTTACTTGCACTTCAGTCAGTGAAACAAATCCTGTGATGGCAACTAGAGCTTTTCAGGTTTTTTGGATGGAAAAATCAATTTTCTTATGATGTTTGAAAATAGCACACCCAATTCTTAAATCCTTTGGTGGGACTAAAGGATGATGAGCCTAGCCCCTCGTTAACCTGTGCCCTTTCATTTTGGAGACAGAGTAAAGCTTCTGTTAAAGTTGATGGAGGGTAGAGAACTCAAGGATATTACATTCTTACCTTTTGTGAATATCAGGAACTGAAAAAGAGATCTGGATATGCCACATTGCAAGAAAGGCCATAGTAAGAGCTCCACTGTATTCTGTCTAGCTGCAAAGCTTCCTGAAGCTGATGCTCGTGTGAATGCTTTGGTCTGGATACCAGCAGGAATTGTTTGTTTGACATGATAGGGGAAAAGGACGAGAGGAAAGAATATATATTGTTGAAATACGATTCTCAGTATTGAAGTGTGCAGTCATGAGGTCCTGGCCAAAAGAATAACTGCAGTTCCTGCTTTCCCAGTACCAGTTGCTCACTGTTTCCTTTTCTACTAATGCTTCCTCTCAGGACACAGCTGGTCTTCCTTCTCTCTTACAAACTGCATTGCTCACACAGTGGTGTGTTGGCAGTGGTGAGTAACTGCAGAAGGACCAAGTAAGCCCCAGCTCAGGCTGACTGCGACCAGTTTTTCAGGAGGAAGTGCGTTCCCATCTCCCAGTTGGCAAGAGTACCCTCCTTGTCAGTAAGAAAGCCATCCACCCAAGGATATTCGCGTCATCTGTTACAGATGCTATTCACCCAAATCAATACATCATTCAGAAAAACAAGGGCAGTGCAAGGAACAAGGGCACCAGTTTTAGTCCTGTGATAGAGCAAATAAACTACATTTTTAATTGTCAGAGAACAGGCCAACATGTTATATCATACATGAGGTTTTCTTCCAGCATAGCAAAGACCTGGTCTGTGTGTATAACTGCAATGTAACAAATAATGTCAGTAACTCAGAGTTGTGTGACTATCTGTAGCCACCACCAGTACAAATTTGCAGGACACCACTGCTTTGTAGTGGTTCCTGCCCTGTTCAGAGGGACAGGTGCAGCTTTTTCACAGAATCACAGAATGGGTCAGGTTGGAAGGGACCACAGTGGGTCATCTGGTCCAACGTCCCTGCTCAAGCAGGGTCATCCTAGAGCACAGGGTACAGGATTGCATCTGGATGGTTCTTATATGTCTCCAAAAAGGGAGACTCCACAACCTCTCTGGGCAATCTGTTCCAGTGCTTGGTCACCCACATAGTACAGAAGTTCTTTCTCATGTCCCAGTGGAAGGAACTTCCTGTGCATCAATTTCTGCCCACTGCTTCTGGTCCTATTGCTCAACACCACGGAGAAAAGCCTGGATCCATCTTCTTGACACCATCCCTTCGGGTATTTATAGACATTGATGAGGTCTCCTCTCAGTCGTCTCTTCTTGAGACAGGCCCAGCTCCTTCAGCCTTTCTTTCCTTTCTTTCCGGTCCCTTAATCATCTTTGTTGCCCTCTGGTGGACCGGCTCCAAGAGCTCCATCTCTCTCTGAGAAGCCAGGAACTGGTCACAGTACTTTTGTATCTACAAATCTGTTTTGACCTACAGCACCCCCTTTATGGTACCTGCTGTCCTTTTGGGCAACACTGTTGCAAAACATAAAAGAAACTCCATGCAATTGCCAGCCCTCACTCCTTGTTTCAAAAAAAACTGTGTTCTTTTTCATCCTATTCCCTTTAGCTGGGAAAACCCAGGTATGTTCTTACCCCACTGCCTGTAAGACACTGAAAAGACAACACTTCACATGCTGAAACTAGGAGGCAGCAATAACAAGCTGAAAAATGAGATGGCCTTGAGAATAATCACAGGGCCTGCCTTAGTCTTGGTACCCAGTGGGGCTGAACTATCAGCCCTGTGTGAAATGGGGTGGGTTTTTTCCTTTTGTCCTCTCTTGCAGTGTGCATTTCTACAGCAGAAGGTGCAGACAACCCCTGGCACTTCCTGCTGCAGAGTCCCTGGGAAGCTGCAGCAACCCTGACTCACCTTGCAGGAGCAATGCAGCCTCACAGATCCTTAGGACCCTCTGGAGCCACTGGCTTCTTTGTTGTTTGTGGTCTTCTCCTCAATGCATCTGCTGCTTTTGTGGGCCATGGCCTGCTTCAAAGATCTCTAAACAAAATTCTCAATTTCTATCTTCATGGGCATTTAAAACTGCATTTGTTTTGTTCCGGAGAAACCCCCTTCAGATTGCTCTGGAACAGGAATTTCCATTGTTCCTGAGACTGAGCTGACAGTTAACAGGTAATGAGAAGGGGGATTATGGAGTTGCAAAATAACTGGGAAATAAAAGAGAGGAGGCACAAAAAACAAAAGTGAGAGAGAAAATTTGTTTTAAATCATAATAAAGCTATTGCTACAAATGTTGTAGTAGATGACAACATGCATCTGGTGTTATTCAATGAAATATTAATGTTAGCAAGGTTTGACTCTGGCCATGTTCTGAAGCAATGCAATACAAACACCATCGAGCCGGCTGCCTCGAGAAAGACTGCAATCACATACTACCGATTCTTTGGAAAATTCTGCCCAAATAATTTGCTCCTGCAGTCAGTTAGTGAGGGTTTTTGAGGATGCTTGTGCACACATCAGAGGATGCATGAGGAATTGCGTGAAACAGAACAAACCTGGGGAGCTGATCAAAGAGAACTTTCTTACAACAGGCACCTTCAGCCACGGGCTCTTTCTCATGGATCATTTAACTCCTATCACTTTGCTAGTTTTGTCCTAAACTTTCTATGTGTTCTTTAGATATGCTTTCCTTAGTTCTTCCATTCACTGTAACTTTAGGGTTGTCTATAAATAGCAAAATCAATATGAATTGCCCTAATTTTTTACTGATCTGAAAATGTAACAGTAGAACAATTATGAGTGGAAGTACAATTTATTAAAACAATGCATATTACATAATCATTTACAATCAGTTGTACCTAGCTGTCCATAGTACTAGGTGCTGTACAACTATACTTTAAATAGAGCCATGTGCTGTACAGTTTGATTTTAAAGAGAACACTTTAGAGTGCTTACAGTCTGAAATGTGTATGTGTGCAGAGATACAAAGATGAAGGGCCTCATTTTTTGGAATCAGTGACAAGTATCCTCTGTTTGCAATGTTTTATTGAAACACAACCCCCTAATATTTCTTATTTAGATGCAGTTCATCATTTGACTTTGTAGGTCTTGTTCCAACTGGCCAAGAATTAAAGACATAAAAAAAAAGAAAAGAAGAAAAATTAAGAAGCATAGGGAATATACTTAATTTGAGATTTTATTACTGATACATTTTTTATACTTTTGTAGTTTAATGTGGAAGTTTATTATAGTTTAATACTTTTAAAATAACTGTTTATATAGGACCTACATAAATGTTTGGGGCTCCTACACAATAGCTTGATAGCCATTCCTTTAGGCTAATTTATAAGGAAGTTTTACAGCTAAATAGCTTGAACAATATAGCAGCCAGATGGTTTTTAATAAAACATTAATGAGACCAGATGGTTCATAACAAACTATTATGGAAGACTTTTGAGACATCCGAGAAAAGTTATCACTTCCTAAGTCTTCATTTATCATTACTGTAAAAAAAATACAGTTCTGTGACTGCCATCCAATCTACAATTTAAAGTTAGAAACAGCAAGTTCATGCAGATTCATGCAATCTATTCTCCATATTATTATTGGAGACATCATAGAATCATAGAATGGTTTAGTTTGGAAGGGGACCTTAAAGATCATCTAATTCTAACCCCCTGCCATGGGCAGGGACATCTCTCACTAGATCACGTTGCTCAGAGCCCCCTCCAGCCTGGCCTTGAACAATTTCCAGGGATGGGGCATCCACAACTTCTCTGGGCAACCTGTGCCTCACCATCCTTACAGTAAAGAATTTCCTCCTAACATTTAATCTAAACTCTTTTTCAGTTTGAAGCCATTCCCCCTTGTCCTGTCACTACAACTCCTGATGAAGACTTGCTCTCTGGCTTCCACACAACCTTCTCAGCCTGTCTTTGTAGGGCAGGTGCTCTAGTCCCCTTATCAACTTCATGGCCCTCCTCTGGACTTCCTCCAGCAGAAGGGCCACATCACTAGATGACTTCTTAGGTAACCATAATCCATTAGACAAGATCCTAGTCTACCTCTTCTGACAATTTTCTTAAAATCTTGGGAAAATCATCAAATAATCACTAGGTTTTCATAGGTAGATCTTTAAAGATACCAAAAATACCCTCACTGTAGGGTTAAGAGAGCTTTTACAATGGCAGGGGGGAGCCCTGTGCCACAATATGTGTACTACAGAAAGGTAGATGTAATACTGCTATCCCCCATGCCAACATCAATATTTGAGGCAGCAAGATCCGAGTTACAGCAAACAGGTTATCCTGACCATGTCTGCCTCCTTCTGCATCTCAGCATGGCAGTCTCCAGTGGTCCTTCCAAGGGACTAAAAGGTCCAGAAGTGAACTCTTTTTTCCTCATATTCCTCTAAATAGTGGCCAAACTCATCTTACAGGCAAAATCTTCAGACAGTTAAAGGTGTCAGAGCAGAACAGACAGAAGCTCACATGAGTGGGTAGGGAAATGCAGCAG